ACACACACACACACACACACACACAGCTGGCTGTGGTAGTGCTGTAATTCCAGCACTTAGGTGGCTGAGGCAGGAAGACTGATAGCTCAAAGTCAGGGCTCATAGCAAGACTGTCTCCAGACAGCCAAAAATAAAATAAACTTCAAACTATCATCAGCAGTGTTATAAAAATTAGGTACAGATAATATATTATAAATGCAGTAATTCAACTAGTTTTCCTTGAGCATAGCATGTAGTGACTTAGACCTTAATGAAATGTTCACATTGCAATAAGATGATGTTGCGGAGAATATTGATGAATATAATTGAGTCACTGAAAACTCTTAGAGGCCTTTGTATTGCTCTATTTTATTCTTACGTATTTTGTATTAATGACTTGATGATTTGTTTCAATGGTTTAGTATACTATTTATTCCTGATACTTTTTTTTGTATTGTGTGCTATGTGTCATATATTTTGCATCAGTAGTTTGAAATATTATGCTGTTCAGGTTATTCACCATGACAGTTTCCTAGCATAGCCCTGACATTGCTCCTCTTGCTAAACTTTAAACCTCTAAGTCCAATGTACTTCTGGACATGTGTATTTCATCCTGAGTCCATCACAAGACTGAACTCATTCTCTTATTCCGAAACCTGCTTTCCTGTCAATAATTCCAACATCAGTTAATGACATTACCCAAACCAGAAACTTCAGAGTCATTGGTGACTACTCCATCCTCTCCTTCTTGCTTTAAAAATCCAGTTAAGAAGGGCCCATGATGTAGCTCGGTGGCACCGTTCCTGACTGGCAATCACAAGGTCCTGAGTTTGATCCCTGGTGTGTGTGGGGGGGGGGAATCCAGTTAAGAAATTCTACCACTTTACCTTCTCAATGACTGTTTGCCTTTCATGATCTATCACTACTCTACTTCTCTAGTCTAGATAGAACTCTCTGACCATTTTAACTTGGGCTCTTTTGTCAACTTGTCCAACTTGTGCTCCACCCAGCCCTCCAGCTTCTCCCATCCATCCTTATGGCTCTGGTTATAAGATGAGGACGTTTGCCTTTAATCTCCAGCTTGTGCATCCCCTACAAGCACCTGACTTATGCACCTAGAACTCACTACTTAAATGTCTCATAGATGCCTCCAACCTAATTATAATTTTTCCTTAAACTTTTTATTCTCCCATCATCCTTTTTCACTTATTTGTATTTTAGTTGTTTTTGGGTTTTGAGACAGGGTCTTGTTGTGTAGTTTAGGCTCGACTTGAATTCACTGTGTAGCCCAGGTGGCCTCAGACTCATGGCAAATGCTCCTGCTTCAGCCTCTTGAGTATTGAGATTACAGGTGTCTGCCACCACCCCTGGCTATTTCCACCATTCTTCATCTCAGAAAAACCGTCACTACCCTCCTAAGTGCTTTAACAAGAAACCTGGGAATTCTTCTCAATTACTCCTTTCTCCTCCCCTCCAAGTCCTTTTGATTCTACTTCTCAGGTATCCTTGGACCCACATGGTCATCACTTGAGTTGGGTACAAGCTAATATCTCATTCTTGGATATCTGTCTTCAAGGAACATCCTCTCAACAGCTTCCTCTGCTCTCTGCCCACCAACATACTCTTCACTTTATTACCAGCAGGATCTCATGGAAATTCTCACCTCCCCCACCCCACACAGGATAATGCTCACGCTCTCGGGTTTAATACACAAGGCTTGCATCATGTAACCTTCACTAACTCTTCAGGTTAAATTTTCACCTCCGCCCTCTCCCCTGCATTTGATGCTGCAGAAATACTGAACCTTATGTAGAGCCTTCTGCTCACATTGCACTTCAGGACTCTCTTTCTCTCTCTGCCAAGGATGGTCCCACTGAGAAGCTGCCTGCATTCTTCTCTTCCCACCAGCAGAACCAGCTCTGCGATCACTCTACTTCCCAGCCTTCCAGAGCAGAAGCCACCATCTCTAAAATCTGCCCATCTGTCTGACTTTGTCTCCAGCTAGGGAGAGCACTTCTGGTGGTGAATGGGACCATATCCTCATCACTTTGGTATCTAGCACCATGCCTTTGAGATAATAAAACTCAATACATGTTGAACTAAGGCTCTGCTCCTCTAGGATGAAGAAGCCCCTTTACATGGTGCCTTGTATGGCCTATGAGTCAGTTTTTCCAGTAATAAAAATAAATATATTTTTAAGCAATTATTTTGCCATGCCATATACTTGAGAGATTATACCAAAGGTAAATCAAAGACAATTCTAGAAAAATGGAGAAGTTAATTGCCTGAGTCAAATGCTGTCTTATTTCCTTAGAAGTAACTCTTTTCTTCTTAGTCACTCTTCACAATCTGTGACTATATTTTTATCTCTGCTATCTGTATCCTCAGTTTGTTTCCCGTCTCCAATCCAGTGCTAAGCTGCCCCTGCGGGCCCGTGACATCCCTCACCTAGAGACTGCTGAAGCCTACCCAAGGCCCTCTGTTCTCCACAGAGCATCTGGTGCGCACCTTTTCAAATGCACACCAGATCCTGTTACTTCCCTGCTTCCAAGTCCCCAACTACTTTCCACCGCACTCCGATATTCGTACTCCTAACTCACAGCCTACTGGTCCTGAGTGATCTGCCCTCCTTCTTCTCTGCCTGACACACTGCTCAGGCCTTGGTAGCACTCTTTTTGCTCCTCCTCCTCCTCAGCACCTTAGAGACTCTGCAGTCCTCCCCTTGGCCTCAGGATTTTAGCAAGGCTCTCCTCCAAGATCACTTCCTTATCTAGAGTCTCAGATGGCATCTGCTCGGGGCCCTTCTTCACCCATTATAAGCAGCAGCCATCCAGAGAGTGGGCTCTCATCTTACTCTTTTCCTCAGGTTGCTACTCAGGAGTAGAGTGGAATGCTAGAGCACAGGAGCACTAGGCCCAGACTCTGTGGGCTGCAGTCCCACATATATCTCACCAGCTGGACAACCTGGGGCAAAGCACTTCACATTTCAGTGCCTTTGTTTTCAGAATAACAATAGTGCATTACAAAATTGTTTGGAAACAAAATAAGTTAATATATTCAAAGTGCTTCTCACAGAATTTGGCTCATAACAAGCACTCAACATGTATTAGCCATTATCATTTATTAATCATTTGCCCCACCATATACAGTAGTACCTCAGTTCACAAATGATTCTTTTCACAATTTTGGTTGAAAACTGAATTAGATAAAAACCAAATCAAATTCAATGCTTAGGTTCAATGTTGACCTCATGGTGAAATTTGATTTGGTTCTTGTCCAACTCAGCTAGTGGGTGGAATAGTGGAAAGAATTAAATTTGTAAACAGAAGTATCACAGTACCTTCCTTACCCTCCACTCCCCAACAAACATGTAAAATTTGAAGAGCAGACCAACTTCCTTGCTTTCCTCTGACACCCTTATTTCTCAGCATGGGGCAGGCATACTTGTTGAATGAAGTATTAGAAACAAGTCACGAAAATGTTTAAGACTATTTCAAATTAGTCTCATTTTCAAAAACTCTCTAATCTAGCATGAAGAATTATCCAGTCTCTTTGTTTCCAGTTTCTATCTCTTAGTGCACAGCTGGACGGAAGCTGCCGGGCACTGGGTTATACAAGAAGTGAATATCGGTCCCATCACTTCACACTAGAGGACAGGGTGGAGCTAACCAGGTTGTTGCTCCGGTCCTGGACACATTGGCAACACTGAGCTCTTACTACAGCCAAAGATGCAGGGCAGGTTCAGGTGTGGTGCTTGGTTTTTGCTGGTTCGGGGTTCAGTTTTGTCATTATTTCTCAGATCTATGACTTTATTAAATATGCAATCAAACTCCAGAAGAAATACCAAAGTCTACAAGGTAAAACCTTGAATTACTTTGCAAGTCACATAAAAACAAATAATGTTAACCCAGTCCAGTAGTTAGCTTGGTTTATATCACTGGGATTGTTTCTCTTACCTATTAAGATGAGTTTCTAGCTTCATGCATGTGCACTCACAACATATACAGCCCTGTCTGTTGAAAGTTATGTGCTGAACCAGTAACTAAAAGAGATAATAGTTAAAAAGGTGGAAAACAAGTACCTCCAGCTTATGCTTAAAATGTCACTGAAGTGTGATCTTTAAAACATTTACCTCTGATTTTGAATAAGAAATCAGCTTTCTCCTGAACACATCATCTATCCCACATCTATGGTTACTTCACTTCTGTGGATTAGCTTAAATTAAATCATTATATTAAGGTGAGGTGATTTTATGTACCAGGTATTTAAAGGCCTGGGCCAATAGGTTTGGAGTTGTCCTCCTACTGCTTCCTTAAAAACGTTCCAAATATTTCCCTTCTGGATTTCTGGTTGTAATTCTGCCTGTGCAGTTTTCTCTTTCCCATTCCTTCCCTTACTTCTCCTATCTTTAGCAAAAAACTTGAATTTAAACAATTCTCCTGATATTGATGACCCAACGAAAGAACTATTTCAGGTGTTATCCACCAGGTTAGTCCTTTATAGAATTATCACTTTTTTCTTTCGTAATCAATAATCTACGTAGGGAGCTTTTCTTTTTTTTAAAGACATTCTCACTATGTAGCCCTGGTTGGTCTTAAACTTGGAGTTCTCCTGCCTCGCTTCCCATCTAAGGCTAGATGTGCTTCAGGCAGACCATTGCTTGAGCTATAGGAATTTGTCATTCTCCTTTTCCCTCTTATCGCTTAGAGGTTACATTCCAGTTCTGGGTCTAGAGGGAGAGCATTTTATTACCGTTTTCAATGGTATCTCCATTTGGACTCAGAATGGGTGGAGACCCGCCACGCGTACCAGACCTGGCCGGTGCTCCAAGACCTTCGGGCGGCGGCACAGGCCACAGCACGCAGTTCCAGGCAGCGTCCTGCAGGGTGCGCTGCGCTCCGCCCGCGCGTCCTCCAACCTGGAGCGTCCGCGGCCCCCGGGCTAGGACACAGAGGAGGCCGCGCGTCAGCGCCCCCACTTCCTCCAGGCGTCGCCGGTGATTGGCTCTGGCTTTATTAGAAACGCGTAAATGAGCCGCTGCGGCTGGCAGAAACTTAGCGAAATCTCCGGGTGGCATCGCCTCCTCCAGGTCGAGCCAAGGGCGAGCCGAGCGCCGAGCCGGGAGGATGAGGTCGTCCTGTGTCCTGCTCACCGCCCTGGTGGCGCTGGCCGCCTACTACGTGTACATCCCGCTGCCCAGCTCGGTGTCGGATCCCTGGAAGCTGATGCTGCTGGACGCGACTTTCCGGGGCGCACAGCAAGTGGTGAGGCGCAGCCGATCGCTGCTTCTCTCTCCCTCCTCTTAAGCAGTATTCGATGGGGGAACAAAATTTCGTGCTCCCCAAGAGTACGTATTTTTCCACTGCAGCCCAGCCATCGCTTTTTAAGGTGGCCGAGCTGGACACTGCTAGGGTGTCGCGATCGCCTGCTTCTGCGGTGGCACGGAGCTAGGTCTGTCTGCGTGATGGAAGATGGGAAGGGAAGTTCTTGGACAGGATTTAACAGCGGCTTCACCTTGCGTCTGTCCTAAATGTCCCCGTCTTGGTTTGCAGCGCCAAGCGCCAGTTCCTTCAGCACTTTGTAAGCCACTCCTCCCCCCCAGTTTTGTTCTCCCAGAGGGGCCGGCAGAGAGTGAGTTAAACGTTTTAGGGAGGGGGAAACAGGCGCTGATTTGGAGGAACGCAGCCTCCATAAAGGCTGCACCGGCTGGCCCTCTGGCTCCTAGGCCTTGGCGCGGAACAGCGGGCAGGGCTGCTGTAGCGTGGAGCCGCGCGATCTTCCATTTCATCTGTGTCGCTTGCCTCAGTCCCAGAAAGGAGGCAGGGAGGCCTGGCTGGCTGAAAAGGTGGCTGAGGAGGAGGCTCTCCTAGCCCTTTTTTTGCGTATTGTATGTGTTCCTGCCTGCCCGCAGCGTTAATAAAGTCCTTGACTGCCAAGGCAGTAATCTTTGCCTGAACTAGGGTGCCCGGGTTTGACCTGGAAGAAGAGCGTTTCTTTCCACTGTATCATGAATCTGTGCGTGTGTGTTTTCCCCTCATAGACAGGAAAAGGTAACTGTGGTTTATTCCATGCATTGTTTTTAGTGTCGTAGCTACAGACTGCGGCCAAGGCTGAGCCCTACGATTGGACAGTATTTCCGAGCAGCCTGCCCCATCTAAACTCTTAACCCTCTTCCCAGATCAAGTCACCTCCCTCGCCCCAACCTTGGGCTTTAATCCAGGTTATTTTTGTAAAAACCCTTTCGGGAATGACAACTAGATATAGGAAAAAACCAAACCCCAAAACCCCCGATTTTCCTGGAGGGTTTTATATTCTTCTTCCTTGCTCGCTGTGTGCAAGATTGCAGCCTGAAGAGCTTTGTCGTATTAAAATTCCCTTTAGTAGGGTGTTACAGCACATTTCTAGTAGAAATTTGTTTTTTTCTGAATCCAAGCACATTCTCCACCTCCAAGGCCTTTTCTTTCCACCATTAGGATACGTCTACAAGCTTTAGAGTCCGTTCATTTCCTCTGCTTACTAAAATTTGACATGGTGGAATAGTGACCATGACTCCTTCTTTAGTATTGACACCAAGAAAGCCATTCTTCTTATAGGAAACCCTGTAATTTCTCTCTTTTCTCATGGAATTATATAATTTGGAAGTAACACCTTTCAAAGATTCGAGAGAGCAATAGTATTTACCTGGGTGGGTTAAATGGCTGTCTCCAGCAACTGCAAAAGAAAACGGGAAGAGAAAATTGCTGTATTGGCTACAGAGATGAGTCTTGGTCTTCAGGTCACAAGAAAATCTTCCTTATCATAAGTAATTTTGGAAAAGCCAGGTTTGAAAAAAAAAGCTTTTTCTTTCCGGACTGGGCTGTGTGGTCCTTTTGGTATTCCTGGAGACTGTTTGGAAATGGGCATGCCAGGTCCCAGCAGAGGAGGTGACATGTTCTCAATGGACCTGAGTGTGTGTGCAGAGAAGTGGCCCTTGTAACTTATCTTCTGAATTGTAAATATTGGCAAGTGCATTCAGATCAGATGAAAACATATGCTATAAAAGAAAAAAATTGGGGGTGAGGGATACCAGGGATGGAACTCATGACCTTGTGCTTGCAAGGCAGGCACGGCAACACTGAGCTGAATTCTCATCTCCTCAAGAAAATTATTTCTCTGAGTTTTCCCTATAAGATAAGGCTCAAACCCTGGGCCTTGTGCATGTTAGGTGTGTGTTGTACCATGGAGCTAGGCTCCTAGCCCCGTAGTATATCTAAATTCCCGGTACTGTTTTTTTTTTGTTGTTGTTGTTTGTTTGCTTTTTTTCCCAGGGATCGAACTTGGGTCCTTGCCCTTAGAAAGCAGGCACCGGAACCACTGAGCTACATCCATAGCCCTGGGTACTGGTTTTTGTTCTGAGTTGTTTCCAGGGATCCACTGTGGATTGTGTAGGAAGTCTGTAGGATTGCCCAATTTTGTTGGAACAGGGGAACAAATGTGAACTGGAAATAATACGTGTCATTGAAACTTAGAGAGCAACCAGTAATGTGCACGGCACAAACCTTCTTCCTTCAGTAAGTTTATTTTCAATTGCAAAAGCAACTGAAGCTATTTAGAAAATGAAGCTTGGCCTGCTTCTTGACACAGCAGCAACTACCTAGCATCAAGGGACACAATACTGCTTTATTTTGTTATCATCGGCCCTTACTACCCTGTCTTATCTCCTTTATTTTGAGCAATGAGTCATATTACTGAGATTAAATCCACTGTACTCTTCTTCCTTGGGGCCCTGTCATATCTAAGAAGAAGGCACTGAGGGAGGATCACTCTCTTAAATCATCTCAACAGATGTTACATTGGAATCCTCTGGGAACTATTAAAAAAAAAAAAAACTCAGATTCTCAGGTCTTACCCTCTACCAAATGATCCAGGATTTCTGGGAGATATGTAGTCTTAGCAACATTTTAAAACATCCCCCAGGTAACTTCAGTTGTAGGAAAACTTGAAAACCATTGCTTTATAAAATGCATTCCTATTATAGATGATGTATTTTCCTTAAACTGTTCAGGTTATCCTGTATGTATGTTCCTGAGAATGAGCCCCTTTACATTAGCGTAGATTAGTTTATCAGATTAGTTGGTTCATACTTTGGCTCTAAGAGTCTAAGCGGATAAGATACTAGCTAGGCAAATTTCAGTGTTAACAATAGAAATATTAAAAGATGAACAGTGGAAAGGCACAAATGAAAATAGATCTGGAAAAGACACAGGAGCACCTGTTAGAGAAGGAGACGAGGGAAGAAAGGAGATGGAGGAAATTCTGAAGACTGATTTCTAAGTGCTATGCAAGTGAAAAACAATGGTACTCCCAATGTAGGTGAAGGGACTGAAATGTACACTTCTGCATGGAACCACTTTCTTAGAGGATGGTTTTGAAATATCCATCAGGAGCCTGAAAAGTGTATTTATTCTATCCCAGCCTTCACTCTTTATAGAATTTATTGTAAATCATGATGGATCCAGGCAAAATTGGGCTGGGGATGTAGCTTGATGGTAGATCACTTGCCTAGCACAATTTGGAGCTGTGATGATGGAAACATTTAGCTAAGTATGGTAGCACACACTTGTAATCCTTCCTAGCTACCAGGGAGGCTGAGGCACCGGGACTGCAAATTTTGAGGTTAGCCTGGGAAACTCAGAAAGACCCTGTCTCAGAACTTAAAAAAATTTTTTTTTGAGGCTGGACATATAATTCAGTGGCAGAGTGCTTGGATAGCATGCATGAGGTCCTGGGTTCAACCTCCAACACAGAAAATAAAGTAGAAAATGGAAACATTTTACAGAATTAAAAATTATTCAGCTTGTCCTTTTCATCATCATTTATGAGAAACATTCAACAACCTTTCCCCCAGTGTAGTATAAAGGAATGAAGATATAAGTACAAAATAAGAGGGGGCTAGGGAATAACTCAGAGGTAAAGCACTTGCCTAACGTATAGGAACCCTGGACTGACCCCCTCACCCTGCTAAAACAATAAAAAATGTTAAAAATTCATACTGTAAAGTGTTAAATGATTTGAAAAAATAATTGTACTGTATATTGTGGGAAAAAGTTGTAAAACAGCATATATACCATTTCTTATCAAAGTATATCTCAATGGTTGTCTTCTTTTGCTTTTTATGGGGATTGAACCCAGGGCCTCACATGAGCTAGGCAAGCACTCTGCACTTAGCTACATCCATAGCCCTGTGTTTTTTTCACAATGAACATATATTAATAAAAAATTATTTTAAGGTGTGTTTGGCCAAGAGTATATTTCCAACTTAAAAGTGGAACTGATGGTCATATACACATCAATGTGGTATATACTCTGGGGACTGTTCTATGAAGAAAATTAGATTACTTGTTAAGGAGGTATTTGGATCTCCTGATAGCATACTCTTATGAGTAGTCACTTAGACTTATTTGTAAACAAATTGAAAACCTGCTGTGTGAGGCTTTGAGGAGATTCTCAGATGGTCTGAAAGAAAACTAGTAGGTTGGAGAAACCATGTTGACTTATAGCTAAAGCAGAGCACTGGGGATGTAGTTCTGTGGTAGAACTTGCCTAGCATGTAAGAAGCCCTGGGTTTAATCCGTAACACACACACACACACACACACACACACACACACACACACACACACTGGGAGCTGAGACTGAGAGGTATCTTAAGACAGGTGCGGTTACAAAGGTGTAGAATGATACAGTTTAAAATGATAAAGATGGCTTCAAGGGAGCTCAGAGCAAGAGCCAAAATTGTCATACCTCTCTGAGCTCCTTTCTTTGTTTATTGATTTATTTCTTTGTTTATTGTTTATTTTGGGGGTGCTGAGGATTGAACCTAGGGCTTTGTGTACACTAAATACATGTTTTTACCAGTGAAGTGTACCCCACCCTTACTTCTTAGTTCTTTTACTATGAATCTTATCAGTGACATAATGTAAGAGAGATTGCTGTAATTGGCATTTCTGCTGACGGTCTCCCTATATCCCATAGATGAAAAGGCTTTTGGTCTATGTAATTGAGGTTTTTAATTCTGTGAAACATCCCCAAACTTGGTGAGATTTAATGTGCCCTCACCTGAATTCTCTACACAGGATGTGCTTTTAGGCTGTGTAGGTGTGGTTTAAATGACAGCTTAGCTTTGAATACTGCAAAACTGCAAGGTGCTAGCCTTTTTTCATACAGTTTTGAATTGGCACTTTTACTAATATCAGGCAAGTTTAACTTCCAAATATTAGTAAATA